ATATTGACCAACACGAGCTTTGGTCCACGTAGTCACATTTGAGACCAGCTTCTCAACAGTTAACCGTATATTCAGGAAACCAGTTCAAGTGTCTAGACGGTATATCCTAGACAATCCCATAGTTTCAATCAGAGATAATAAAGCTCCGGCTAAGTTAATCTGACTGATTGGTTTAGCGAGCCTCCCAAGAACTCACATGTTATCTACCACGAAAGAAGAAAAGTCGTAGACCGTGTTAATCGAGGACTGGCAAGAAGTCTTATCCAGTGTAATTGTGGTGTCATTACATTCTTACACGTATTTATATAAGACCCTCGGTTATTAAGACAGCGGATGCGCTGGAGCTCTTTGGAGCACGAAATGATGAGGCCGGGAATAGGAATATCCCCGGACCCATACTCCTTGGCTACATCAGACTACCTAGATGTTAATGACAAAAAAGCACAAAAAAACAAATACATACCACAAGTGTAGCAACCTGTTTTCCCAAAGCCGAGTGGCTGGGACCCGGGGGAATCTGCCGGGCGGCACTGATGATGGCCATGATCTGGGCAGTGGATGCCTTGAGATTGGTCAAAGAGTTGTCAACTGGAGTGGACATGATGAGTGAGTTGAGAGATTTAAAGATCTTGAAATCAGATTGAAATCAGTTATCAGAAAGATGAAGTTTTAAAACAAACAAGACATTTGATGGGCAATCCACAAAATCGTTCATTGTTTGTGTTTTTTTGGTCATGGTTCAACTTTCGGCAATTGCCGGCTTTGTGTTGAACTTCGAAGTTTTTTAGATCATCAGTCAATCAGTCCACCAATTCTCCACACATGAGTTCTCATCCAGCCGTTAGATTTAATGACCCCCCTGACCGACTATACCACTATGGATGTGGATGACTCATCTATGGGCCGGGTATCACTAGGTATGTTGTATTCTTATCATGCCTTATCTATTCACCGGGTATCCCTTAGATGACTTAGATGACTTATACCTTGGGCCGGATGATGACATGGAATATGATTCTACATCATCCAGGCCCCCGGATGTGTCGGCTGCAATACCTGGTATGACTATACATTCCTTATGATCAGGGATCACCATGCATGCTCACTTCACCCTCACAGATCAATCACATCCAGGTCAAGCTGATGATGCCAGCTGTCTCATTGATCCAGACTTGTACCTCGGGCCTGAGGATGATGTCATTGATGTTTATGAGTTGCTGGATTCTGCTGACCCTCCCACTTTTGCTCCGGCTACCTCAGAGTGTCCTATGTCATGTGGGTCCATTCATTCCAGACCATTATTGATACTGATCTTATCTCCAAGCCAACAATCATCTACCAAACCTCGTGCAGACCTGCTGGAGCTTGATTATTGAGGATGAACATTTGATGGTCCGGGAGCTCCATCCTTTCGGAAAATACCAACACCCAGAATATGAGTATCTGAAAGCAGAGCATTTATCTTTGTGCTAATCTTCTGGAAGACCAATCCGTCCAAGATCAACTCCATGATTACAAACACCATAATGGAGGTCTTCCTGACCCTTCCATCCAACAACTGATCGAGGCTGAGCGACCATTCCAAACTGCTTTGGCAGAAACATCCGACAAACTGAAAAAGCTGATGCATACCTGCAGAGGTTGCAAAGAGTTGAAACAGATGAGCATTGAAATGCTCAAGGTAGTAGATTCCATGATTTGAACACTTTGAAGAACAAATGACCATGTAAATTACTGTATTGCAACCTCTGAATTTTCACTGACATCCCCACATCATGTACACGTACCAAATTTCTCAATACATGTCCCTGGGTGTCGAACAGGACTCGAGACTCAATAGTCGGGATACTCAATACTCGATAGTCGGGAGTCGATGTTCGGGACTCAATGTTCGATATTCAGGACTTGATACTCAATAGTCGGGAGTCGATGTTCGGACTTGATGTTTGATATTCAGAAGTCGATAATCGGGACTAAGCACTCAGCACTCGATATTCAGGACTCGATGTTCGATGTTCAGGACTCAGTGTTTGACGATCTCGGGCTTCGGGTTTTCGGGACTTGAGGTTCGATAGTTGGAATTCGATGTTTGGGACTCAATAATTGATATTCAGTAGTCAGGACTCGGCATATCATATTAGGTCAGATATATGAAAGTTACACATCAACATGTAAATACAAGCAGGTAAAGGCAGGCAGTGTAGTATCAGTCCATTATTCTTTCCCCTTGCTCTCATCACTCGAGGGCTTGTGTCCAATGGCTGTTGTGTTGACTTACTCCGGGGTTGTCCTTGCCAATGGCTCAATCACCACTTTCTTTCCCCACATGTTCTTCGGCGCTGGCGACCTATTGACTCTTTCGGTTGCACCATCCTCCTGAACATTGTCAGTGACTCTCTCAGTCAGTCCAGTCAGGAGGTCGCCCATTCGTGATGTCAGCAGTGCACCAGTCTTCCCTGCATTGACCAGGCGAGGCTTTGGAATTGCATGTGGGACCGCTGTCCCTTCATGTGCTGTTGAAGGACCAGGCTCTGTTCTGGGTCTCTTTTGTGGGGATCTACCTTCTAATGCGTCATCATCAGCATCATCCTCCATCTGATGAGTGTTGCCCTCGGGATTGCTCTCTGGATCACTCTCGTGATCGGTCTCGGGATCACTGTCAGTTTCGGTTGCCGAATTCTGAGGCCTTCGGATCATAACTTGTCTGACTTTACGAGTCCGATGAGAAGGCGAATCCCTAGATACAACCGAGGCTACCATGTCCCCATCTCTGTTCTTCCATGCTTTGAACAGGAATGTTGGACCTTCCCCTTTCTCCTGCCGAGCATACCAGAAATTCAGTAAGGCGGTCGTGTCCCAATGTTGCAACTTCGAAGGTTTCCCTTCAAGTCCACATCCACCAGAACATACTTTCTTGCCACAAAGTCATCCTGACTTTGTATGATGGCACTCCATGGCACAACTGCCTTGTCAATCCCGGAACAGATACCTGTATAAATTGCATTCAACAAATGTTCGGGTGTTGCGATGATGGACTCATAATAGTGAGATGTGAGAAATGCTCTGACAATGGCTTTCTTCTCCTCGAGTTTCGTTTCGGTGATGTCGGGAAGCACTGGCATCCCATCCCCATCGATTTCGAGTTCGAAAGCAGGCTTCCTGATTCTCTTTCAACCTCCCTTCACCTGTCGCCCACCATCTTGTGCCCCGGCACCTATCATGACGAAGATCAACTAATTCATTCCAGTAGCCAGAGATCAAACACTCACTGAATTGTTCCTGCGCATACTCCTGCCAAACTGGCTCAATGTCCTCTCAGTCCTTTGTCTTCATGAAACTTTCCCCATCTCCTAATGCCTCGTTATCATCGTGCCTGCATGAATGTATTGAGATCGAAGATCTGTGATGATAAAATTGACTTACATCCCGAACAGCACCTCTCCCTGTTCATTCTTCCACGCCGACATCACAAACACTCTCATCCCACATTGCCTCCACATCTCCTTCGAAAAGTGCTCCATATACGCCCATCCCTTCTTACGAGCCACTTGTGCTTGTATCTCGGGAGGAGGAAAGTTGTTGGACCATTCTTCAGCCGTGTCTTTTGCCTTCTCCAACTCGTCGTCAGACAATTCAGCCATGACTCTTTTTACAGCTGCCTGATAATGCTTGAACATACTGGGACCTCCTGGCTTTGCCCCGGACTCGTCCTCAATCCTCTTCAGCACCTCCTCCCATTTCTGCTGGTAGATCACCTGCCTAGGAGTCCATTTACTCCCATACTTTATCATGTCCTTCCTCTCCTTCTTTTCTGGTTGTTGAACAACCATGTCTTGTACATCTGAGAGTTCATGGAAGAATAAGATGTTAAAATTTTAGTTTTGAATGAAGCAAGGATGAATCACCTGCTTCCTCTTCTTCCATTGTGCTTGGTCGACCTTGGGAGCAAATAGCCTGGCAGCCCTAGCTATGGCAGTGAAAACTGCCCTTTTCTCATTCCTTTTCGCCAAAGTCCACTCAGGAAGGTAGTTCTTCAACTCCGAAATTTCATTATCCATGAGCTTCTGTGTCTGCGGTTGACACGCCCTATGTCTTCCAGAAGTGAAAGTCAACTGAGTGGAATGACCTGATCTTGCCATTGTGAATGAGATTGCAGAAAGGGCTGAGGATGAGCAAGGTGGAAGTAATAATGGTGACAAGTTCAACTTTTGAGCAAAGCCTAACAGTTGGTTAATTGACCCATATTGGATGCAATTCCATTATTGGAAATGAATTTGTAATGACACATCAAGACTGCATAACATCACATTGCAATAACAATTTATTCACATTCCTGAGCTAATGCTTTGCTTGCAGCCTTCGAAAAAACATGAAGATAGGTAGATGCTGTTAAGACTGTAGCTCAAGGGTAGACGGATCCGAAGGGCTTGGCCTCAGCTTGTGCGCTGTGCCCCTTACCCGAGTACGTGCCCTTAATTTCAGAATGAAGTCCAGATGGAATCTGACGAAGTCTGAAGGACTTCCAGAGGCTGGCTACTCTAGTAGAGTGTGAGAGGATTTCTGGATGAATGCAAGAAACTTCCGGAGGAGTATAGGAAACTCCGGAGGAGTTTCATCCACTGTATTAGATCCGAAGGTAAGACTTCCCAAGGTAAGTTCCCTAGATAGAAACACATAGAGGATAGGCTGCAAGGGACAGAGTCCAAAGCAGGATAGGATAGGAGGAGTGGTCCGAAGAACAGGACATCCGGAGGTCCGAAGGTTAAGACGTCTGAAGGGTACGTCGTCCGAAGGTTACGACATCCGAAGGTTATGACGTCCGAAGGTCTGAAGGTTTACCAGGACCGGAGGAGCAGACAGGATTAGGACAGGAGGGGAAAGGCTACTATGGACAAGGTCCAGAGTAGAAACAAACAGAGGTAGACTACACTATGGTAGAGTCGGATAAACAGGGTTTAGACAGAAGTCTCGGAAAGACAGGAAGTGCCAGAAAGGCAAAACTCTGGCTTAGGGAGTCAATCCCTAAGCATGGATGTAGATGGAAGGATAAATCCGGAAGACCAGAAAGTCGGCCTAGGGAATCCTTCCCTAGGCCTAAGGAAAGGCAATACTAAGATGGACTGAAGTCCGAGATCAGAATGAGTGAAGTCTGAGATCAGAATGAGTGAAGTCTGAGATCAGAATGAGTGAAGTCTGAGATCAGAATGAGTGAAGTCTAAGATGCGAGAGAGCAAATCTATGTTGATATTCGAACTAAGGAAACTTTACGGGAGTTGTACAGAGGTTTATATACTGGAAGGGATCCGAGAGGATCAGTAAGCTGAATACAAATGCTATGTACAAGCATGTGGAAACATATTAGTAAGTATGAACGGAACATAAGTAAATGAACTCGGATATGAACAGAGTACAAGGATCAATAAGCAAGACGGGAACAGAGATAACCGAAGTCCGGAGTCAAGGGGATTACCATAAGGAGATAGACGCTGATTTAAGGTTTGGGCCTCGGGTATGAGTATAGGTCAGATCCGGAGGTCTAGAGATATCGGATGAAGCGTCTGGATATTGGATGAGTGGATCCAGGGATCTAGGTGAAGACGAGACTAGGATATGGATCATGGATATAGACTGATAGTCTAGGGAAGGTAGAGTCCAAGATGGAATGAGCTCGGATCCGATAGGACCAAGGGTGGATGAAGCAGGCTTAGCTGCGGAGGTCCAAAGGTATGGATATATGGATGTACGAAGGTGTACGGATCCAAACCGATAGTGGACTGGAGGACTGAAGGCACGGATAAGGGTATGGAGTCATGGATAAGGGTATGGAGGTCCAGATGTGCATCTGGAAGGCGTTGGAACATCATCGGACGTGGGTCCGGAATACGGGATATGACAGATGCACCCCATTGCAAAAATCCCACAGGGTAGAAGCAAGGGGCGGCAGAGGTAGGAAAATTTGGGTCAAGGTCCCACTTGCAAGCACAAAAAGACGTGTCTACAGGTCCATGCCTAGCTCTCCCCCAGAATCACCAACACTTCGACCTGTTGAGGCACCACCTCTTTGGGAAGACATTCCTGACAACACTTACGAGCAAGACCAAGGCTCATTTGAGCCATTGCAACTTCCAAAAACCATGGCAAGTTTGTAAAATGTTGCATTGCAATTCAAATGATAGCTAAGTGTAACAAATGCAGAGTCAGAATGACTACCTCAGGCAATGGCTGCCAAGGCAAAAATCATATCTGCATCACCTCCTGGATCCAGAAGCTCCACCAGAAGATAGGAGATGTGTCATCTGCGACCAGGATGGGGTCTACAAATGTCAAGATTGTCTTGTGGAGCCACTCTATTGCACTGGCTGTTGCAGAAGTCAACATCTTTGCAATCCCTTCCACTGGATCAGTCAATGGAATGGTCAATTCTTCGAGCAAAGTTGTCTTGCTCATGTCGGACTTGTCATACACCTTGGTCATGAGGGCAAACAATGTCCGGTACTTACAGATAGGTGGGATTTGTTCAAAGAAGACGAACCGAAAGACCAGCTTGAGCCTGAAGATCTACCATCTGTGTCGGGACCTGAGTTCCAGCCGAAGGAAAACACCATGGTCATCATTGACAAGTCCGGAGTTCATCACCTCCAGGTTCGATGCTGCGATTGTCCAAATGCCATGAGTCCAGACCTTCAAATGTTTCAACATGGATTTTTCCCCGCTTCATTTAACAAGCCGAAGACTTTGTTCACCTTCAGGGTTCTCGATGATTTTCTATTGGACAACCTTGAATGTGGGACCTCGGCGATGAACTATTACAGCAAGCTCCGGCGAATGACCTCGAGCATGTTTCCACACCTTGTACCAGTAATGCCATATATCTCTCATCTAAAGGACATTATATTGACAAAGCATGTGGCAAGGACCGATACCGAGAGCTCATGAGAGTCGCCCAACAGTGGAGGCAGTTGAAGATGATGAAATGGCATGGCTTTGGCCATTGTGCTGACAGCCTGAATGCAGGAGATCTCACATTATTTGCCTGGCATGTCCTTAGCCTGGGATTAATGTGTCCTTAGCAGGGCATGGATCACTTGATGAGTGAGTCTTCTTCAATACTGAAGTCACCTCAGTGATAATAACAACTCCAAGGTCGAAATACACCCGGTCATTTGTTATGGATGGAAATTTCAAAGCCAAACACCTGCATCCCATGAAGCTGCTTGATGAAGTTTGGCTGTCAGATGGGTTGGGATTCATGGTGGGAAAGGACAGGTATAAAATGCATCTTGCAGAGGCTGCCGACACTTTAGAAAAATCAAGCTGCAACAATCACCAGGCAGTAAATCAAGCAAATGCGGCTCGGCACAAGCTGGAATCCACGGGCATTGGGGGAGTAGCCTGTGCTCGACACGGTTGCTTTGTTCCTCACTTGATGGTAGATTTTCAGAAAGGCAAAAGGCAAGCCGACCCGGCCATTTGACATTCACGAGTTAACCATGCATCATTTGCAGACAAATGAACATGGACTATGCACTTTGTGAGGCTACCCGGCACAACATGGAAGGCATCACCAGGGCGGTCACCTTCTATGATATCAACTGTCAATACAACAAGCACTTTCGGGTTTGGGTGGATCGAAGCCGATTTCTCAAAATGGTTCCGGAATTGACCATCATTCCCGGAATCGGGTTGTGGCACATCCATGGACATAAGGACAGCTGCTATGTCCAATATGCGTCGAATTTTATTGAAGGCATCGGTCGGATCGATGGAGAGATCATGGAGACCCTATGGTCACGTCTCAACCTGATTTCCCCCGCTGCTCGGGGAATGTCATCCCCGCATCGAAAGGAATGTCTCGATTATCAGATGAATGATTCCAATTTCTGCAAAATGATCCGCATTAAAAGGACCCTTTGCCGAAAATACAAGCAGGTGAAGAATGGCATCGCTGAAAGTGAAAAGGCTTTCGACAGACTTGATGAAGCAGCACCCAGCAATTCAAAGACAGAGTGGTTAGCCAGCGAGAGGATCCCTCAGTCCAGCAGAATAAATGATCCTGTGGCTATGGATGTATATGAGATTAATATCAAGAAGGGTTAGTTGACTTTGTGTCCATCAAAGTCCAAATTAATTTTGCACTCAGCACCGAGCAAAAAGGAGATCGAGCTTAGACAATTAGAGGAGGGTAATGCCTGAAATGCAACACCAGCTCACAGATCTGTGGCAACATGGATATCAATGGGGCTGGCAATTGAAGAGGCCCAAATTGCATTGCTCATCGAGGTCCGAAGAATTGGTAGAAGAATGACCGAGACACAGAGGTTAGACATCGCCCGGCAACGCGATCATCTCCAAGGCCAGATAGATGGATTCACTCGGTCTGCTATTACGCATCTCAGAGAGGGATTTGATGCAGATGATGATCCTGAAGACTTGGACTTAGACATTCTCGATGATCTCGATGATGACTTGGCAGACTTCACCGAGACATCTGACACATGGGCAAACTCCCCTGAGCTCACTGTAATCCCATTGTCATCAAACCTCAGGGTAGATAGATGCAGACACTGTATGGCAGACGATCTCATTCCACTGGAGACGTCCCTTCGTGAAGGGCAGGCCAATGACTCCCTTCACAACCTCCGAATTCACTTGTGCAACAAGGCGATTCTGTTTCGAACAACAGTTAGGCAAGCCAAATCCCAGGCCCTGAAAACTCGAGCTTGGTCCCAGGTGACGTCAGTGCAGCAGGCAGTGTCCCTCCATGCCAGTATATATACAAAGACGAGGAAGCAAATGATGCAACTGGAGCCACGGCAAGACCAGCTTCAGAAATACAAACACCTGCTTCACGAGCAGCTCAAAATCAGCACTGCCATTGGCGATCCAAATGCCCAAGGTCAGCAAAACGAGTCCCTCGCTTGGTT